TTGTGAGATTATAAAATAGAGTTGAAAGCCAAACAGGCAAATTAGTTGAAGATGCTAGCAAGAGATAGGCTACAGGAAGGGAACAAGAGGCGGTTAAAAGGTCATGATTGGATGAGGGGAACATGGTCGTTTCAATGAAACTGGTGAGCTGATGTGATGGGTTTAAGAGTGAGAGGAGCCGAAACCGGTTTGGCTCAGTGGATGGAGCGTCGACCTGCGGACTGAAGGGTCTCAGGTTCGGTTCCGGTCAAGGGCATGTACCTGGGTTGCGGGCACGTCCCCAGTGTGGGGTGTGCAGGAGGCAGCTGATGGATGTTTCTCTCTCATTGATGTTTCCAACTCTCTGTCTCTCTCCCTTCCTCTCTGTGGAAAATCAATGAAATATATTTTGAAAATAAAAATGAGATTTCTTGTTGGGAATAGGTGCCCTAAAGCAATCTCTCTGCCTTGGGAACCGGGGCATTCTCGTTTCTTTTCCACGCCCCGTCATCATGATGCCACATAAGGTGGCACGGAAGAGGTTTGATAACTTTGGGTCCACACAGTGGCTTCCTGTGTTCATGCCCATTTCCTGAGCTGGGTTTTAAGGAAAAAAGAATACGCAGAGAGGAGCCCCCCAAAATGGTTGGCATTTTTTTTCTCTCATTTGCATAGCAAGATTTAATTTCCATCCCTTAAATATGACGAATTGCCGAGATTTTCTCCAGTTAATGCTTTTAACAGCTCCCAATAAACTCCATTAATCAGGCGAGCTCCAGGCCCAATGTGCAGCCGGGAAGCAGCTAATTTGCTTGATGAGACCCCGACTTTGGTGAATAAACAGGTGGATAATCTGAGGGCTTTATGGCCTTAATTACAGTCTAATCAGTTCGGCGGTTGGCAGGCAGGAGAGGAAGAGGAAAGGGGGTGGTGATGGGGGCATGGGGGGCAGGTCAAAGCCACCTCTCCTACAAGTGGAGACCTACACCCTTAAGACACCTCGCTTACTTCTCCAATGGAGTTCCTCTTTTCCTTTCCATTTTTTCTTTTTCTGTCT